GTTGACAAGGGGTGGACTGTGATGGTTAAGGTTATGTGTCAACTTGGCTGGGCCATAATTCTCAGTTGTTTGACAGTTATGATGTAGTTTGGCAGTTATGTAATGATGTAATCACCTCCACGATGAGATCTGATATAATGTAATTACCTCCATGAAGAGATGCCTATGAATAGCCAATCAGCTGAAAGGGAGCTTCTTTGGTAGTGTGGCCTACATCCAATATACATGGACTTTCTGGCAAAGTTTGCTGGCTTTTGCTTGTTCTGGATCCTGCATTCAGCTCGTCATCATCTAACCTCTAGTTCTTGGGACCTGAGCCAGCAGCCTGTCGTCTGACCTGCCGATCTTGGGTTCATCAGCCCCTACAGCTATGAGTGAGTCAGGAAAAGCCTCCAGCCTGACACCTGACCAATGGACATGGGACTTTCCAGCCTCTGCAAGTGCATGAGCCATTTCCTTGATACAAATCTCTCTCTCTCCATATATATATGTGTATATATACACATACATACACATACATCCTTCATTAGTTTCTGGGGTCTTAACGCTATAGGGTCACTATGAGTCAGAATCGACTCAATGGCAATGGGTTTAATGATATTAGGTAAGAAAAAGGGTTTCACTGTCAAATAAATTTAAAAAACAAACTATGATAAGCAGATTTCTTTCCTGAAGGACTTCTCAAAACCTTTTTTTTTTTTTTTTTGGTATTTCAGTCCCTCTTTTTACTGTACTTTAGAGGAAGGTTTACAGAACTAGCTAGCTCATTAAACAGTTAGTACACACCTTGTTTTATGACATTGGTTAACAACCTCATGACATGTCAACACTCTCCCTACTCGACCTTGGTTCCCTATTACCAGCTTTCCTGTTCCCTCCTGACTTCTACTCCTTGCCCCTGGGCTGGTGTGCCCCTTTAGTCTCATTTTGTTTTATGGGCCTGTCTAATCTTTGGATGAAGCGTGAACCTCAGGAGTGACTTTGTTACTGAGCTAAAATGGTGTCCAGTGGCCATACTCTTGGGGTTTCTCCAGGCTCTGTCAGACCAGTAAGTCTGATCTTTCTTTATGAGTTAAGAGTTTTGTTCTACATTTTTCTCCAGCTCTGTCTGGGACCTTCTGTTGTGATCCTTGTCAGAGCAGTCAGTACCGTAGTCAGGCAACATCTAGTTGTACTGGACTCAGTCTGGTAGAGGCCATGGAGTTGTGGTCCATTAGTCCTTTGGACTAATCTTTCCCCTGTATCTTTAGTTTGCTTCATTCTCCCTTGCTCCCGAAGTGACCAGTGGCCGCTCACAGGCTTTTCAGACCCCAGATGCTACTCACCAAAATAGAATGTAGAACATTTTCTTTATAAACTACGTTATGCCAATTGAACTACATGTTCCCCAAGACCATGGTTCCCACAAAATCCCATGCTGGATTTTGACAACTGCATTTTCTACATCAATTGAGATTACTATTATTATTGCCTTTTGTTCTATTAATGCAGTATATTACAGGGAATGATTTTATGTTGAACCACCCTTACACTCCTGGGATAAACACCCTTTGGCCATGGTGTATAATCTTTTTAATCTGTTGTTGGATTCAGTTTGCCAAAATTTTGTTGAGGATTTCTGCATCTATATTCATAAGAGATACTGGTCTGTAATTTTCTTTTCTTGTGATATTTTTATCTGGCCCTGGTAGCAGGGTAATGCTGGCCGTTACAGAATTCAGTTAGGAAATGTTCCCTCCTAACACTTTTGTAAGAGTTTGAGAAAAGTTTTCTGGAAGAGTTTGAGAAGGACTGATATTAACTCTTCTTTAAATGCTTGGCAGAATTCACCAGTGAAGCCATTCCATCCTGGACTTTTCTTTGTTGGGAGGTTTTTTGATCACTGATTCAATGTCTTTATTTGTTACATGTCTGCTGAAATTTTCTATTTTTCTTGAGTCATTTTTAGATAATTTGTGTGTTTCCAGGAATTTGTCTAAAATTCTATTTCATCTAGGTTATCTAATTTGCTGGTGTACAAATTATTTGGAGTATTCACCTATAATCATTTTATTTCTGTAGTCAGTAGTAATGTCCCCACTTTCATTTCTGATTTTAGTAATTTGAGTCTTCTCTGTTTTTTCATTTGTCAGTCTAGCTATAAGGTTTGTGATTTTGTTGTTTTTTTTTTAAAGAACCAATTTTTTGTTTCATTGATTTTATTGTTTTTCTATTCTCCATTTCACTTGTCTCCACTCTAATCTTTGTTATTTCCTTCCTTCTGCTGGCTTTAGGTTTCGTTTGCTCTCCTATTTCTAGTTCCTCAAGGTGTAAAGTTCAGTTATTAATTTGAGATCTTTCTTGTTTTGTAATACAGGCATTCAGAGCTATAAATTTTCCTCTGAGCATTGCCTTCACTATGAGCAGCATTTGTTTTAATAGCAGAAGACTGAAAATGTCTGTGAATAGTGGAGGGAATGGTTAAATAAATTGATACATTAAAACAAGAAAATATAATACATCTATAAAAAATAAGAGTTCTCTATATATGGACTTGAAAATAGATATGGAATACATTGTTAAATGAAAGAAAGCAAGGAACAGAACAGTGAGTGTGGTACGTCACACTCTACATAAATAAGCGGGAATAAGAATTTATATATTTATAATTGCTTGCGTATGTATTTAGAAACTCTGTAAATACATGACAAACTAATAAGAATGGTTACTTGATGGCATGAACAATGGGAGGACGGAGTATATGATGGAGAGAGAATATATTTTTGATTTTTAAAATTTTGGACAACGCATATACATTATGTCTTCACAAAAATTAAACCCCACTGTTGTCGAGTAGATGCTGGCTCAAAGTAACACAAAAATTAGGTAAATTAATTAAAATAAAGTCTTATATAAAAACAACTAAGAATTTCTGCTCATGAAAAGACATATTAAATGATGTGTATAGACAGGTCACAAACTCGCAGATGATACTTACAATTCAAGTAATTAAAGGATTAGTGTCAAAAATATATAAAGAACTCCTATCAGTAAGAGAAAGACAAACAATCCAAAGGTGGAGAGACAGGGAAATGAACAAAAGATGTGAACATACATTTCATAATGATGACATAACTATCAGTCAATAAACATGAAACAATGCTAATCTTCATTAATAATCAGGGAAATAAAAATTAAAATACTCAGCAATACATCACTCCAACTAGACTGGAGAAAATTTAAGTTTAATATTATGGGCTGTTAGCAAGGATGTAGATCAGAGGTCAACAAACTACAGCCTGTGAGCCAGCGGCCTGTTTTTGTAAATAAAGTTTTACCGGAACATAGCCACACCTATTCCTTTACAAATGGTCTACAGTTGCTTTCTAGCTACAACGGCAGAGTTGAGAAGTTGAGGCAGAGACCGTATGATCAACCAGCGCAAAACATTTACTATCTGGCACTTTAAAAAGAAGTAAACAGTTTGGCATTATCAGCTTTAGAGCTGAATATGTACAGGATATATTTAATAATCTTTACAGCAGAACTGATAGCATTCACAAAAACCAGAGAAAACACAAATACTCATTGACAAGAGAATGCATAAATAAATTGTGGCATATTCAAACAACAGAATAGTGCATAACAGTGAAAATGCGTGAACTACAGCTATATGCATCAACATGCACCCTCATAAATGCAATACTGAGAAAACAACAATACAAGTTGTAGAAGAAAAAATACAGTATGATTCCATTTGTATAAAACTCAGAACTATGCAAACTACATTTTTAAAGAATACATATACAGTAAAACTATGAAGAAACGGTATAAATTGATTAACACAAAATTCAAGATTGTAGCTACCTTCTGCTGGTAGGCGAGGTAATAGATTTAGGAAGAGGGGAGCTTCAAAGGTATTAGTATTGATCTATTCTTTAATCTAGGTGACGGTGTTTGTTGCTGCTATTCTCTAAGTCTCAATATACACAAACATCCTTTATATATGTGTTTCATATTTAATAATTTTTAAAACTCTACTAAAAAAAAAAAGAAATCAATCACAAAAATACTAAATGTTTCAAAATGCATTAGTTCTCCCTGATTCAATTTATAAATGAGACTGCAATAAAAGAGAGACAACACTTAGAGGTTAACTACTCACTGTCCCCTCAGCACTGCTGTGCAACTCAATGATGGATTGATGGACGGATAGATGGAAAGCATTTTAAGAAAATGTTATGCAAATGTAAGAGAGAATCTTTTAAAGAATTTTTTAAGAAATAGTTAAGACAGAAAATAATTGGAAGTAAATTTGATTATCATCCCTTACCAAACTCACTTTGCAAACCAAGATAAAAGAAACAAATATGAAAGAAAGAAACAAACATCCTGGAACTATAATTAAATTGTCTCCTATTAGAAATTCCATTCTCATAATTCATCTCATTTAAACAATGTGAATAATGTACTTACTTATTTTAATTCCTTGCTATGTTCCTGAAAGAATTTAAAGGGATACAAGAAAATAAATTATCTCCTTCCACAACAAAGAATATTAAAGAGAAAACTGATGAGGAAATTGGGGAATGAAAGAACAATAATATCATGGTGAAAGTTAATACAGCAAATGTAAAACTATGATGAGGTTTGATAAAATTTTTAACTGGGCTGCAATTTGCCTCTGAATTTCCAATCAGCTACAACAAAGCAGGAAATATAATTAGTTAAAAGATATTATTGAGTTAACAAACTATCTGCTCAAGAATCATTATCCACTTTTCCTGATACTGATTTCAAAGAGAAATACTTCCTGTGAATCTTCTAAAGGAAAACAAAACATTAACCATCAAGCCATCAAAATACCCAGAAGGTTAATAAAATTAAAGGTTTATTAGGGGCCCAGGAGTTGGGGAAATACATAAAAATGATCTGCAAAAAAACTATTAAATAAAGTGATTAATGGTGCTAATTAAAATTCAACTTAATATTCATAAACTAGTCATATAAAATTTACTGACCTTCCTGAACTGCCATGTCCACAGTTATCCCAGAAGCTGAATGTAGAAGTTTTTGGTAATTCTGTGCATTTTGGTCAAACAACTGTACAAGAAGAGTGCATGTCTTTTCATATTCACATCTACTGACAGTGCACAACTGCTCCAGCTGCTGAAACACAGTAGCGGTATCATCCAGTGGATCATCTAAATTATCTCTGCAAATATATAAAAACCAAGTATACGAATGGCATTAGAATATTATTAATAATTATTAATGAATACTATTAATTAATTATTATTAATTCCCACCAAAAATAAACTTTTTTATGTTAAATAAAAAATTCTATGATGGATAAAGAAATAAAAGACAAAGGGATCAGAAAGGAAGAAATAAAACTACCTATATTTGAAGAAAGGAGCCCTGGTGGCACAGTGGTTAAGCACTTGGCTGCTAACCTAAAAGTTAGCAGTTTAAACCCACCAGCCACTCTACGGAAGAAAGATGCGGCAGTGTGCTTCTGTAAAAATTACAGTCTTGGAAACCCTACGGAGCAGTCCTACTACTCTGTCTTAAACCAAAACCAAACCTGTTGCTGTCAACTCAATTCTGACTCATAGCAACCCTATAGGACAGAGTAGAACTGTCCCATAGAGTTTCCAAGAAGTGGCTGGTGGATTCAAACTGCCAACTTTTTGGTTACTAGCTGTAGCTCTTAATCACTGTACCACCAGGGCTCCTATAGGGTTGCTATTAGTGGTCAGAATTGACTCAACGGCACTGGTTTTTTTGGTATATTTGAAGACAACATGATTACCTACATAGAAAATGCCAAAGAATCCATTAAAAAAAGAAGTAGAACTAATAAGTGAGTTTACCAAGGTCACGGAACACAAGGCAATATACAATTCAAATGTATTTCTATATATCTCAATGAACAACTGAAATTGAAATTTAAACAGTATCATACAAAGGCACATAAAATACTAATTAAATCTAACTAAACATACGAAAGATCTGAATGTTGAAAACTACAAAACACTGATGGAAAAAGTCTAAGAAGATCTAAATAAATGAAAAGATAGACATATTCATGGGTTGATAGACTCAAACCTGTTGAGATGTCAAATCTCCCCGCAAGTCAACAGATTCAATGCAATCCTAGTCAAAATCCAGCAGAATTTTTTTTCAGAAATTGACAGACTGATTCTAAAATTTTCATAGGAAAGCAAAGGAGCTAGAAGAGTCGAAAGAATTTTGAAAAGGGAAAACCAAATTCAAGGGCTCATATTCAAGATAACTCACAGAGCTGTACACTAAGGGTTTTTTTATGGTAGGTAAATTATACCTCAATTAAAAAAGTTATAAAATGCAAAAGATGAAACTAAAACATAAACATCTAGTTTTTCAATACCTCACAACTACAGCAACAGATTCCAATCGAGAAGTGATAAAGGCCTTCGTGATTTCTGGTGCATAAGTGTCTAATAGATGGGGCTCAGTTGATTTCACAAAAGGAACTGATGCTACCATCCTTTGCCACAGAGTTAACAAATAATAAACACTGTTGGGAGCAAATTCCCAATGCTACAAAGAAATAAAGCAAAAGTTACTTAAAATTGCATTCAGTTTTCCTAAAATAAGAATTACAGAGGCAAGACTATTACACATTCATTTTAAAATTAACTGTTCTTTTGTTTTCATAAGCAATGAACACTTAATATAGCAAATTTTGTAAATGTAAAAAAGTATAAAGAAACAATCTCTCATTATTCTACCACCCAGAAATGATCACTGTTAAAATGTTTGTGTATTTCCTTCAAATCATCTTCTTTCCACGTTTTTTTTTTTTTCAGAGTTGGCATTGTGAAGAAAATATGGTTTTATAACCCCTCCCCTAGATTTATAAAATGAATTTTTCCATGTTAATACAATCTGTAAAAATATTCTTTTATTTCTTTACATGGATTTACTACAACTTCTCAGTCATTATTAGATATTTAAGTGGTTTCTAAATCTTTATAAATACTGCAATGAACTTTTTTACCTAAAACTTTGTAATGAAAATATTTGCAAAGCACCTAAATTAACAGACATTAAAAAAAAAAAAAAAAAAAAAAAAAAAACCTCCCAACAAATGATAGCAAGAAATTGTGTTAAAAGTGTCTATAGTTTAACATCAACTACATATTTTTACTCACCTGGAGGCTGGTAATTGTAAAATTAGCTATCAATCTGATAACTTCAGGATACTCCTTCACCATAACTAATTCTCCCAGCTGATAATTTGTCTTTAAACGAGCCAAAAATCGACAAAATTCATGATAATTACCTGGATCAGACAAACCCTAAATTATGAGACAAAAAGAAAGGCTTTTAAACATACTTAGAAACAGACCAAGCTAGTAAGCTATTACACCATGAATAAAATTTCAAGCGTATTTTATTAAGTGTCCCAGTTTTTATAAATATTTATGGTACTTTGTGTCACTGGGTAGATAACAATGGGAAAAAAAAAAAAAAAAGTGATACCTGCTAGATTTAATGTTGTCATTAATGATTAATAATAGAGACGTCAAAGTAGAGGCTTTAGAAGAAACTTTGCACCATGATGACTGAATTATAATGTTTGGGGACATTATATTACACTAAAATTGTGTGTGTGAGTACGTATTATGGTCTAAACAGAAGTTAACAGACGACTTAGAAAATATTTACAATGAAAAATACAAACGGGCTCTTGAAACCTTGGAAAAGAGCAGTACAAACTGGACTTAAGTTAAATGGTGTGTGTGTGCACACAGATAATAGAAATTTCTTTTAATACAACAAGTACTTATCAAGAGCCTATAGGCCCAGGCCCTCAAGCAACTCCTCATCTCTAAGTAAACAGTCATTCAAACAATGGAGAACAGAAAAGTTTAACAATATTATCTCCAAGACACAGAGTTAACTTTTTGGGAAGGATAGGTTAGAAGGCAAGACCAAGAAAGGTGCCCCTAGTTGTCTGTGAGCTCCTTCGGAACAGGGCATATGTGTTATTAGTCTGAGCACTTTACCACTAAGCACTGTATCTGGAACAAAGCAGAATTCAAAAACTATCTGTTTAATACTAAAAGAAGTTCTAAGAAATTTCACTCACATGAGCTCCATTAAAGCATATAAAATAGTGTCTAATCATTAAGGGCAAATTGCAGAAAGTTATTTTGTACTCATAGGTCTTTTGGTACATTTATAATGCTAAAGTAATTAATATAGTATCCAAACTAAATTATACAGCCCTTAAACATTAACGTGAGAATGTTGGAAAATCATTTAAAAGAACTATCTGGCATTTGCATATTATCTCCTCGTATTGGCTGACGACAGTGAATCAAACAACTAAAATTTTTAAAGTATATTGGTAAAATTCCAGTTATCAGAAAACAGGTACATTTCACAGCTATGCTAACACTGAAAAGATAAAACAAACATATGTTAACACATAAAACACTCCTGAGAATAGCTTGTAATATACCCAACTTTTTTAAAGCAAGCACATTTTCTTTCTGTAAAAGATATTACACGCCTCCCCAAAGTTATTAACAACAAAGAGACTTAGATACACCTCCTTAATCATCACTTAACCTTTAAAATCTGTACTTTAATTATAAATATTTTAAACCAAAAACAAAATAGAAAGTTAAAAAAAAATTGTATTTAGGCACCCAAAACCACTCACTAATAACAACTTCACAATTCTCTGAGATGAGTATTACCTTAGAAGCTCTGTTCTTAATGTAGACAGTACATTTAAAGTCTACAAATTCTTATTTGTCCACAAGAGGGCAAAAAGACATTCTTTCATAATTTAAAGCCACTTCTTCCATTATTAACATTCAGATTTATATTACGTTTTCCAGTTCAGAAGGCAGATATAACTCTGAATTAATCACTTCAGTAACTTAAGAAGTGCAAGCAAAGAAATTCAGTACAATGGTAAAAGGCAAAAACATAGTAACAAGATACATCAACCCTTTATATTCACCTAAAGGAATGGAAAAAATAAAAGATGGGGAACACATAAGTCTGTCAGGTAAATATGCATTTTTTAAAACTGCCCAAAAAAACTGCTACAAATGAGACCTGAAGAAGAGGAATATGATACTTTATATCTTCTTGCAGAATTATAATAAATTCATGCTGAGTTTATCATGCACCTTTGGGCAGAAAAACTGTATTTCTATATGCTAAGTATTAATTAAATTACTTCATAAATACCTGAGGGTTTTCAAGTATCCTCTTTACTCCTTTAATTAAATTACCAAGGTACCTGGCACGTTCAGGACTGCTAAATAAGGACCTTCTTGTAGAAGCAAACTGAACTAAACACGAAAGTGCCTAAAAACAACAACAAAATGTATTTAAATTTTAAAAGCAGCTATGGCCACATGTAATGAATACAAGTCTTTACATTAAAAATTTTTAATGATAAAAAAGCATTATAGAATCTAAAAATAATGAACGCTAAACATTATCAACCACCATCATCACCCACAGCCCTTCTACCCCACCACTAAAATTCCTATTTGTGTGTATTCCCCTCTAATACTTTTTCATAGACCAAATCTGCCAGAGCAGTGCCTGGACAAGTGTATATTCAAAGGGCTTTACAATTGATTCTGATGCCCAGCTCTGTTTGAGAACCACTGAACCAGGTTTTGTACCAAAAATAGTTTTGTGGTGGAATATGTTTATGAAACTCTGCACATTATGCACTGAGGTATCCTCAAGGGGAAAACAATCCTGTAATTTACTTAATCCAACCTGTCCCAAACTTATATGGTCATGGAATATTTTACCCACACCATTCATTAATATCTATCTTAAGAACAGTTTAGAAAATGCTGCTAGAAGAATTACATACCCTATAAATTCCTAAAGAGTATCTGTGGTATAGCTGCCTTCCTAAGGTCTTCGATATTGTACCAGACAATCTCACTACTTGGGTTCTTAATTGTACTGCTGATACTCAATGAAGTCAGCCTGATCATTGACTGAGAGACCCCCAAATTGGCAACTTTGAATCCAAACTGGCCCACATATGTTTTGCTTTGGTCCATATATATTTGTTTGCCCACTTTAAAGAAAAAAAAAATTAGAATGAGCTGTCAATATTTAGGTATTTAAGATAGGAGATTTCACAGATGAAAAATGTTTGGCTCTCTTGGCTAAGTGTGAGAATAGGGACAAAAATCAGAGCATGCCCTTTCTAAATTTTCTCCAGTTTGTCACAGCCCCCACTGTTAGAAGTAACAAATAAAAACCCTCTGTCATGGGTTGAATTCTGTCCCCCCAAAATATCTGCCAACTTGGCTAGTTCATGATTCCCACTATTGTATGACTGTTTACCATTCTGTCATCTGATGTGATTTCCCTATGTGTTGTAACTCCTATCACTATGATGTAATGAGATGGATTAGTGGCAATTATACTGATGAGGTCTACAAGATTAGATAGTGTCTTAAGCCAATCTCTTCTGAGATATAAAAGACAAAAGAGAGGAGAGAGACATGGGAACCTCATACTCCCAAGAAAGCAGCGCCGGGAGCAGAGTGCGTCTTTTGGACCTGAGGTTCCTGCACTGAGATGCTCCCAGAGCAGGGGAAGATTGATGACAAGGACCTTCCTCCAGAGCTGACAGAGAAAGCCTTCAAGCCCTGAAGCTGACACCCTGAATTTGGACTTCTAGCCTACTAGACTGTGAGAAAATAAACTTCTGTTTGTGAAAGCCATCCACTTGTGGTATTTCTGTTATAGCAGCACTAGATAACTAAGACACCCTCCCTAAGCAATTCTGATGTGCAGAAGGTTTAGGAACCACTAGTGTATTAAAAATAGCCAGGGCTTTTAGGCCAAAAAGATCTGGGTTTGAATTTTAGCTACAATATGTACTTTGCTGCCTGGGGGGATGTCACTTAGCCAGTCTGGGTCTGTTTCCTCCTCTATATAGTGAGGGTAATAATACTAACCTTGGAGGGCCACTACAAAGATTAAATGAGATAAGGACCAAATAACACGGCCTGCTCAATAAATGTCACTTTCTCTCAAAGTGGCTATTTTACACTTTCTATTTTAAGCACTGGTACCTTTGTTTCATCCCAAAACATAATTGGACATGAAACCATGGTTTCTATACACTGAAAAGCAAGACTGTGCTGGTTGAAAGTTAAAAGGCTGGAGCTCTACAGCACCACCTGGAACATTAGTGCCCTGTGAAACCCAGTTTGAAAACCACCACCTTAACACCCTAGATTCAAAAAGAGACATGTTTTTGTTTTTGTTTTTAAAAGGGGGTATTTTTGTGAACCTGTTCCTCCCTTCTAGGAGACAGCAAATCTAAACAAATATACTGCTCATGTGTACCTTAAATCTGGAACATCTTTTCTCAGGAAATGGCAATATTACAATTCCCTAATTTTCCTCGTGCAAGCTTAAATATTAAACTGACAACTTTTTTAAAAAACCTCACCTGGTCTGTTTTAGATTCCACAAAGATAAGCCCCATGGTCTCAAAATTAGACATAACTAAAAGGTTTCAAGGATTTTTTGAACATGAATTTGATTCAAAAAACAAATGAACAACTAGAGTTGTTCTTTCCTTATAGAATCCTAATGTGATGAGCACAAAATCAAGTAAATCCACTTCACTTCTCACTTAGAGAGCTCGTGGGGGCTGCCTGTCAAGCCTAAGACATGGAGCCAGGCGGGGTTGAAGAAAGAGTTAGAGAGAGACTAAGAGAAGGGAAGGTGGAGGTGGGTGGCAGAAGCTAGACTAAGGCCCAGAAGAAGGGATTGGGACTGAGTTGGAAGTAAGGTATACTTAGAGACTGGTAAGTTGTCCTGGCTCTGGGCAGGGGCTAAATCAACAGTTATTGGTTCTGGGCTCAACAGTGAAATGGAATGGACTGTTGACATAAATATAATCTGGCAAATAGTTTAAGCAATATACATCCCACAAGACTTAAAAAGAATTTTTTGTGAGAGGTAATCACTGAACACGTGGAAAAGCCCAATCATGAATGTATGTAAATAGAATTTTTTTTTAGTAAGTATACACCACCCCTTAACTTCATACAGGTACTTTTTAATGAAGTAATGAATGATTTTTACTTACTAACTGAGACAGGAGTGGTGGAAATGAATGATACAAATTGAAGAAAAGATCCAATGTTTCTGGTTCCAGGAAAACTGAAAAAAAAAAAAAAAAAATTTTTTTTCCCCTAATGCCATACTTGTAATTCATAGGGTACTTTTTCTTGCAGTGATCATAACATAGTAAAATATTATCACATAAAGCGAGAACTCCAAGACCTCTGCATGTGGTCACTCTTTTCAGTTCTGCCAATTTTTAACTCCTAGGTATTTTCTTTTGAAAGATAAAATAATAGAGACATAGAAGTTAACTAGGTAAGATGTTCCACATTTCTATGTAGCATATATAGTTCTTACTGGGAGAATCTTCTATTTTTGCTTGTATTAAACTAACAAACATTATTTGAAAATTAAATAGTACCAAAAAGTACTGAAAAGTTTATAGTAAAAAAAATAGCTGAATCTATCCCATTCCAGCCACCTTCCAACTTTTTTAGCTATATTTATCTCCATATTTCCAAGTAATATGCTATATTACTATGCCCGTTTTGACTGTTTTACTTCAGACATCAACTGAATTCCTATTACAGTAGGAATTTCTATTCCTATGACAAACATATGAGCCTTCAGCTCTCTAACCACTCACCCTTCAACCCTATGACCCCCACCACTCTCTCTACAATCCATCCTCTCTCATAAAATCCATTCACTATATCACAATTTGGGGTTAAATCAATGCTCAGGAAGTCCCTTTTCCCAGATTCCGTATCTTACTCTTTCTTGGCTTGTACGTTGAGCAGCTTCCCAAGAATAGGAACATAAGGGTAAATTTTGGGAGAGACAGCATGTTCAAAAATGTCTTTATTCTATCTTGATAATTTGGGTCTAGTTTAAAAGTTATTTTCCCTCAGAAATCTGAGGATATTAACTGCATTGTCTTCTAGCTTCCAGTGCTGTTGTTGGGAAGTCTAATACCATTTTACCCCAATTTTTGTAGGTGACTTAATGTGTTCCTTCTAGAATATTTCTGAATCTTCTCTTTATCCTATTCTCAAATGTCATGATTATGAGGCTTAGTGTATCTCTTTTTTCATTCATTACGTTGGGTACCTGGCAGGACCTTTCAATCTGAAAATTTATGTTCTCAGTGCTGAAAACTTTGTATTATTTGTTTGCAAATTTTCTTGTTTTCTCTGTCCTCTCTTTTTAGAACTCCTTCTAGTTAGATGTCAGACCTCCTAGTTTCATCCTCTAATTTTCTTATATATTTTTTTCTCCTACCCAGTGTCTCCCTGCATTTTGTATTACTTTCTGGGAGATTTCCTTAACTTTTTCTTCCAAATTGTCACTGAATATTTTATTTTGGCTACTGTCTTTTCAGTGTGTAACGTTCTCAGAGTATTTCTTTTTAAAACAATTTCCTGTTCTAATTTCAGGGATGTATTACCTTTTCTTATCTCCCTGGGGATATTAAACTTCTTTAAACTTTTTGAGGTAATTCTAGATGCATATGCAGTTGCAAAAAATAGAGAGACACCATCTGCCCTTTACCCAATTTTTCCTCAATGATAATTTCTTGCAAAACTACAGCACAATATCATGAACAGGAAACTGACAATGATACAATCCACCAATCTTATTTAGATTTCTCAGTTTTACATGTATTCATTTGCATGTACGCATGTGTATGTGTATGTATTTTCAGTTCTGGACAATTGTATCGCATGTGTTGGTTTGTGTATCCACCACTACAGTCAAGATAAAGAACACTTAGTCCCTTTTTATTGTTGGCTTTAGTATTTGATTTCCATATTAGAAATGTTTTCATGAAATCTCTGGTGCTCCATCTCTGGTATCCCTGAATATGAAGCCTGTCCAGTTTACTTTTTTAAGGAAAATTGCCCTGGCCTTGGGAAGCTAGAGGGAAGGGAGAAGGAAGGTGGGGAGGGGAAGGCAACCACCTTGCTGCACAGGTGGTAGAGAAAATCCTGGGGAAGTGAACTATTCAGCATATAGATTTTTTCACCCCTGACTTCAGGGGTACCCTAGTACCACCATTTTTCAGAGGTATATGGGGGCAAATCAGCTTGCTTTTTCTTGGTACCCCTCTCTGCAAGGAAGTACACTGCAACTCTGTTTCTGCTAAGTCAGTTATTCTAACTCATTTTCTTTATAATCTTAAAAAAAATGTTGATATCTCTTCTCAACACTGTTGTATTATCTCCCACTCTGTTTATCGGAAAGTTTCAAAACAGATTACTTGATTTCCCCTCCCAAACCTGCTTTTCCCCAGCACTAGAGCTCTGTCTTTTCTTTCTTCAAAATTCAAAATATTAAAGTTACTATGATATAAATAGAGGAAAACAGACTTTAAAATTGGCTTTCAGCAACTACCTTGGGTTTAAATCCTTTTGAGCTTTTTTTTGATTGTCTAGCAAAAAAAAAAAAAAAAAAAAGGAGATAATCGTGCAGAGGAGAACTGTATTGCTTAATTCTGAGCCTCTTATGTTGACCATCCTTCATGTTAAACTTTTTTCTTACTTGTTCTCCAGGTTGTTGGAATCTGTACTGTGCAAAGATCATCTGCAGATTCATCTGCTGAACTGCCAATGAAGTCAAAGTTAAGGCAGTTGAGGACCAGTTTCAAGACCTGCATTACAAGATTTTGTTGACACTGATCCTGCAGATTTAAAGGTTTGGCCAACACCTGAAAAAAAGTTCAAAGTCAAATAAAACCTTACGAAATAAGTCAATTAACAAGTTTTTCACTTTAGTAACTTCAATAATTCTTCAATGCCAAATTAAAATTAGCAAAAAAGTTTACGAAGTTTTGTTGCAGCCATTAGGAAAAAAAGGTAAAATCACAATCCATAAATTTCTACAATAATAGACTATATGCTATTTGTAAATTGAGAATAAAAACATTTACAATTAACTTCCAACTGTAGGTCACCATCTACAGTTGTAACTTTTTAGAACAAATACTTTACACGGCCCCAGAGTATAAATGTATGGGATTCATTAGCTCAAAAGTTGTTTACAACAAGTTGAAACTGTAATTTTCTTCAAGAAAACCCCCTGGGGTATAACTTCATGCATAAAAGATTCATACTCAGCTTAAAGAGGTTTCCAGAGCTGTTTGAATGTGGGAGGACACTCAAAGCTTCTGGAGAGCAATCCTGACCACTAAAAATGTCCATCTTGATATAACCAGAAAAGATGATATCTTTTAGAGATGCACAGTGAAATATTTATAGAAGAAATGATATGAAGTTTCGGGTTCTGCTTCAAGAATAAAACAAAAAGAAATAAAGTGGGGAGGTACAGGCAGTGATGAAACAAGATTGGCCATGAGTTTTTAGCTGTTTAACTGGTTGATAAGTACAAGGGGGTTCACTATACCATTCCATCTACTTTTCTATATGTTAAAATTTTCCATAATAAATTGTTTTTTTAAAGACAATAAAAAATTCCACTGCCATCGAGTTGATTCTCACTCATAGCGACCCTATACACCACAGAAGAACTGCCCCATAGGTTTCCAAGGCTGTAATCTTTACCGAAGCAATCTGCCACATTTCTCTCCCACGGAGCGGACAGTAGATTCTAACTGTCAACCTTTAGGTTAGCAGCCAAGTGCTTAAACACTGCGACACCAGGGATACTTTTTAAGATAACAGAGGGTCTTCAGGTCAGACCTAGTGTGGCAGTTATCATGTACCAAAGAACTGAAATAAGTGAGTAAAAATAAAATATTTTTTAAATCATTTTTTCAGTACACCTTACCTATGTTTCACAAATTGTGTTCTACTGAAAACCATTCCATCACTCTCTTGGCAAGTCACAATAATCATTAGCATAGTAAAGGTTTTGAGGAGGCGGAGCCAACACAGTGCTACAGACAGAAGCACCACGCCACCACTCCAGAGCAAAGACCCAAAAAACTAAAAGACACAGACGTCAATCCTGGAAGCCTAAGCATCAAATGAAGAGATAAAGAACTCAGCCAAGCACCAAATGGAATAAGAAACTGACAGAGAAAAGAGAACGAGAAGAGATACGCGTGGAAGTCTCCTATCAGCTAATGCAGCATGGATTCAACCAAACAAAATTAACAAAAATTATTAAAGGGAATCCTTCGGTTTAAGAACAGACAACATCAGACCACAGCCTGAATCTAGAACGAAAGATCACACCAGCCGGATAGCAACCTAGGATATGAACTCTCAAAGACTATTCAAAACCAAAAGATTTACCACAGGAAACCAGAGAGGTTAATCTGTAAATGACAACAACCTCAGAACAATAAAAGAGAGAATAAATGGTGTAGGTATAGAATTCTCTAATAGAGAGGAAAGCAAGTTGATACCAAATAATAACAGACTGGTTCAAACCTAGAAACGTAAGGGTAAATTTCACAGCAACCACAAAGAAAGTTAACAAACCTACTCATCAAAATAAAGAGGAAAAACATAAAGTCTCAGTAAACACAAAATCTGCAAAAACAAAATAAACGAAAAAAAAATCCACAAACGAAAGGAATTCAACATAGGAGAGCAAGAGAACAAAGAAAACATCTACACCACAAAAAAACACTACAAAATGACAGCAATAAACTCATACCTATCAATAATTACACTGAACAAAAATGGACTACATGCACCCATAAAGAGACAAGGAGTGACAGAATGGATAAAAAAAAAAAAAACAGGATTCACCAATACGCTGTCCAAGAGACACACCTCAGAAACAAAGACGTAAATTTTTAAAAAAATCAAAGGATGGGAAAAAAATGTATCAAGCAAACAGCTACCAAAAAAGAGCAGGAGTGGCAATACTAATCTAAGATAAAACAGACTTTAAAACAAAATCCACCATAAAAGACAAAGAAGGGCACCATATAAAGATTAAAGGTATGATCCATCATGAAGACATAACCATAATAAATATCTACACACCCAATGACAGGGCTCCAAAATACATAAAACAAACTCTAACAGCCCTGAAAAGAGAAACTGACAGTTCCACAATAATAGCAGGAGACTTCAACACACCACTCTTGGTAAAGGACAGAACATCTAGAAAGAAACTCAACAAACATACAGAAGATCTAAAGGATACAATCAGCCAACCTGCCCTCACAGACATATAGAACACTCCACCTAACAACTGCAAAGTATACATTCTTTTCTAACCTGCACATGGAACATTCTCCGGAAGAGATCACATTATAGGCCACAGAGCAACCCTCAACAAAATCCAAAACACTGAGTTAATACGAAGTATCTTCTCTGACCACAAGGCCATCAAAGTAAAATTAACAACAGGAAAAGCAAGGAAAAAAAATCAATTACATGGAAACTGAGTAACACCCTGCTTAAAAACCACTGGGTAATAGAATAAATCAGAGATGGAATCAAAAAATTCCTAGAATCAAACAAGAATGAAAACACATCATACCAAAACCTTTGGGACACAGCAAAGGCAGTGCTCAGAGGTCAATTTATAGCAATAGATGCACACATCAAAGAAGAAGAAAGGGACAAAATCAAAACAGTAGCTACACAACTTGAATAAACAGAAAGAGAACAGCAAAAGAAGCCCACAGCCACCAGAAGAAAAGAAGTAATAAAGACCAGAAAAGAAACAAATGAAATAGAGAATAGAAAAACAATAGAAAGAATCAACAAAACCAAGAGTTGGTTCTTTGAAAGGATCAACAAAATTGACAAACCACTGGCCAAACTGGCAAAAGAAAAACAGGAGAGGATGCAAATAACCCAAATAAGAAATGAAACGGGGATTATTACAACAGACCAAACTGAAATAAAAAGGATCATAACAGAGTATTATGAAAAACTAGACTCCAACTAATTTGAAAACCTAGAGGACGTGGACAAATTTCTAGAAACAAACTACCTACCCAAACTAACACAAAATGATGTTGAAAATCTGAAAAGACCCATAACATTGAAAAGGTAATAAAAAAACTTCCAACAAAAAAAAAAAAGCCCTGGCTCAGACGGCTACACTGGAGAATTCCACCAAACATTCAGAGAAGAGCTTACACCAGTACTACTCAAACTATTTCAGAACCTGGAAATGGAAGGGATACTTTCGAATTCATTCTATGAAGCCAGCATAACCCTAATACCAAAATCAGGCAAAGACACCACAAAAAAAGAAAATTACAGACCAATATCTCTCATGAATATAGATGCAAAAATTCTCAACAAAATTCTAGGCAATAGAATTCAGCATCATATCAAAAAAATAACACACCATGACCAGGTAGGATTCATACCAGGTATGCAAGGATGGTTCAACATTACAAAATCAAACAACGTAATCCACTACATATATAAAGGGAAAGAAAAGAATCACAGGATCATCTCAATCAATGCAGAAAAGGCATTCGACAAAGTCAAACACCCATTCCTGATAAAAACTCTAAATAAAATAGGTATAGAAGGGAAATTTCTCAACATAATAAAGGGCATCTACACAAAACCAACAGCCAACATCATTCTTAATAAAGAGAGGCTGAAAACATTCCCCTTGAGAATAGGAACAAGACAAGGATGCCCTTTATCACCACTCCTATTTAACACTGTGCTGTAAGTCCTAACTGGAGTAATAAGCCAAGAAAAAAGAAATAAAGGGCATCCAAATTGGTAAAGAAGAAGTAAAACCATCCCTATTTGTGGAAGATATGATACTATACATAGCTAACCCAAAAGACTCCACAAGAAAACTACTGGAACTAATAGAAAGATTCAGCAGAGTAGCATGATACAAGATAAACATACAGAAATCAGTTGGATTCCCATACACCAATAAAGAGAATGATGAAAAGGAAATCAAGAAAAAAATACTATTTATAATAGCCCCTAAAAAAATAAAATACTTAGGAATAAATCTAACCAGGGATGTAAAAGACATACAAAGAAAACTACAAAACACTACTGCAAGAAACCCAGAGAGATCTACATAAATGGAAAAACATACCATGCTCATGGATAGGTAGACTCAACATTGTGAAAATGACAATTCTACCCAAAGCAATTTACAAATACAACACAATCCCGATCCAAATACCAACAACATTTTTTAAAGAGATGGAAAAACTAATCATTAACCTTACATGGAAAGGGAAGAAGCCTCAGATAAGTAAAGCACTACTGAAGAAGAAGAACAAAGTAGGAGGACTTGCACTACCTCCCCTCAGAACCTACTATACAGCTACGGTAGTCAAAACAGCCTGGTACTAGTACAACGACAGATACATTGACCGATGAAACAGAACTGAAAACTCAGATGTAAATCCATCCACCTACAGTCACCTGATCTTCGACAAGGGCCCAAAGTCCATTAAATGGGGAAAAGACAGTCTTTTTAACAAATGGTGCTTGCAAAACTGGATGTCCATCTGCAAAAAAAATGAAACAGGACCCATACCTCACACACCATTCACTAAAACTAATTCAAAATGGATCAAAGACCTAAATATAAAACCAAAAACTATAAAGATCATAGAAGAAAAAACAGGATCAACACCAGAGGCCCCAATACACAGCATTAACAGGATACAAACCATAACTAACAACACACAAACTCCAGAAGATAAGTTAGATAACTGGGATCTTCTAAAGGTTAAACACTTACGCTAATCAGAAGACTTCACCAAAAGAGTAAAAACAGAACCTACAGACTGGGAAAAAATTTTTGACTATTACAAATCTGACAAAGGTCTAATCTCTAAAATCTATAGGAAAATCCAACACCTCTACAACAAAAAGACAAATAATCCAATTAATACATGGGAAAAGGAAATGAACAGATACTTCCAAAAAAGACATTCAAGCAGCTAACAGACACATGAGGAAATGCTCACGATCACTAGCCATTAAAGAAATGCAAATCAAAACCACAGTGAGATACCATCTCACTCCAGCATTACTGGCACGAATCAGAAAAACAGAAGATGACAAATGTTGGAGAGGCTGCAGAGAGGCTGGAACTCTTATGCACTGCTGCTGGGAATGTAAAATGATACCACCATTTTGGAAAGTGATATGGCACTTCCTTAGAAAGTTAGAAATAGAAATACCATATGATCCAGCAATCCCACTCCTGGGACTATATCCTAGAGAAATAAGAGTCGTCACACAAATAGACATGTGCACATCCATGTTCAGTGCAGCGTTGTTCACAATAGCAAAACTATGGAAACAACCTAGATGCCCATCAACAGACGAACTGATAAACTATGGTACATATACATAATGGAGTACAACTCAACAATAAAGAACAATGATGAATCTGCAAATCATCTCATAACATGGATGAATCTGGAGACCATTATGCTGATTGAAATAAGTCAATCACAAAAGGACAAATACTTCATGAGACCACTACTATAAAAACTCATGAAAAGGTTTATACACAAAAAGAAACAATCTTTGATGGTTACAAAGGAGGAGAGGGGTGGGGTTGGAAAAACACTAAACAGACAACAGGTAAGTGGTAACTTTGGTGAAGGGTAAGACAGTACACAATACTGGAGAAGCCAGCACAACTTGTACAAGGCAAGGTCACAGAAGCTCCACAGACACATCCAAACTCCCTGAGGGACTGAATTGCTGGGCTGAGGGCTGTGGGGACCATGGTCTTGGAGAACATCTAGCTCAACCGGCATAACATAGTTTATAAAGAAAATGTTCTACATTCTACTTTGGTGAGTTGCATCTGGGATCTTAGAAGCCTGTCAGTGGCCGGCTAAGCTACTCCACTGGTCTCAACCCTTCGGGAGCAAGGGAAAATAAAGAAAACTAAAGATACGAGGGAAAGATTAGTCCAAAAGACTAATGGACCACAACTACCACGGCCTCCACCACACTGAGTCCAGTACAACTAGATGATGCTCAGCTACCACCAACGACTGCTCTGACAAGGATTACAACAGAGGGTCCCAGACAGAGCTGGAGAAAAATGTAGAACAAAATTCTAACTCACAAAAAAAGACCAGACTTACTGGTCTGACAGAAACCCAAGAAACCTCAAGAGTATGGCCCCCAGACACCCTTTTAGGTCAGTAATGAAGGCACTCCTGAGGTTCACCCTTCATCCAAATATTAGACAGGCCCATAAAACAAAACGAGACTAAAGGGGCACACCAGCCCAGGGGCAAGGACGAGAAGGCAGGAGAAGACAGGAAAGCTGGTAATAGGGAACCCAAGGTCGAGAAGGGGAGTGTTGACATGTCGTGAGGTTGTTAATCAATGTCATAAAACAATGTGTGTACTGTTTAATGAAAAGCTAATTTGTTCTGTAAACCTTCATGTAAAGTACAATTAAAAAAAAAAATACAGGGAATGAAATGCCAAAAAATGAAAAAAAACAGTTCTGAGAAGCCCTTCAGAAATCTGCTTATCATAGTTTGTTTTTTAAACTTGACAATGAAACCCTTTTTCTTACCTAATATCATTAAACCCACTGCTGTCAAGTCAATTCCGACTCATAGCAACCCTATAGCATGAAGGCCCCAGAAACTAGTGCTTAGTGGAACTTAGTGGAACATACTTTGGGAAACGTTGCACTAGGCCAATTAACAAGCTTAAGCAGCATGATGAAGTCACTGTATTATACAAGAGGACAGAATATAATTATGAATTATGCTAACCCTGATGTACAAAAGGGAACTAAGTTACAAATGGGAAAATGTGTCCAAATATATTATTGAAGTCAACGATCTTGGCTCAGCTATGAACAAAGTCTGATAAATTAGGAAAACTTACTTTCATTTCACTGTTCATCTACACTCTAGAAAAATATAGGCAGGGCAGATAAAAGACATTAAGACTCAATTAGCTTCTGCAATAAAGAACCTACAGTAGGAAGACCATGAAACTACTACCTAAAGACAAATTACTAAATTCCTTTTGGATTTTACTTTATCATATCCCAAGTGAGTAAAAGAATTTTTTGGAACTTCTAGATTTGTGCACATATACTAAAGTCAAGATTGTTCAGAATAACTGTAAGGCAGAGTAGAAAAAAAAAATCTATTTTAAATTCTTTAAATTTTCTTTTAAATACTCTAGGACAGTGTATTATTAAATAACTTACCTCTTTTAGAAGAGAGCATGCTAGCACTAGAATGTCTTTGAGAGAAGTGTCACGAAATGAGGTAGCTATTTTCCTGTGTTTTGCTGAAGATCTAGAATAATCAATCTAAAAAGATCAAGATGAAATTAGTTGAACCACACCTACCAAAGAGCAAATCAAAAATTTACTGAATAAGAAAAGGAATGAAAATAATGATTAAAGAATCATGAAGTACAGAGCTAAAAGAGCTTCTAAAAATACACCAAGGAAGTGACCTGTTGAAGGTTTTTAAAGAGTTAATGTCAGAGCCAGGGTTAGGACCCATGTTTCTGGACTGTTTCAATTTGGTGCCCCTTCTGCAAACCATACTAATGTGAAAATTAAAAGCCAGAATTGATCTCATTTTTGGAGGCAATATAAACACAGATTAGAAAATAGATAATCGTTGTTGTTGTTGTTGCTGTTGGTGGTGGTGGCGGTGGCGGTGGCGGTGTTGGTGGCGGTGTTGGTGGCGGCGGTGTTGGTGGCGGTGGCGGCAGTGTTGATAGGTACAGTTGAGTCAGTTCTGATTCATAGTGACCCCGTGTCCAATATAAAGAAACACTGCCCAGTCCTGTGCCATTCTCACAATCGTTGATATGTGTGAGCCCACTGTTGCAGCCACTGTTGTCAATCAATCTCATTGACAGTCTTCCTCTTTTTTGCTGACCCGCCACATAATAAGACTATCAATTCCTGAACCACGCATCTTATTTCACATGCAGCAAGTAACAACTTCTCTGATCCTCAGAATCTACATGTAAAATGAATAACCTCTAAAATAATCTTCAAATTCCAACTTTGAAGCCAAGGCAGAAATTATAAATAATTAGAAGTCTAATTTATTATATAAGCAATAGTATATTCATCTTGAATAATTTATTAGCTAATGATAACTAGTTCTTATGAATAAATTTACTAACACTAGCTCTTGTACCTCTAACCTAAAATATGGACAAAATTATACAATTCATAACAGTTTATCAACATGAAACCAGCAAACAAACCTGAAGTCTGTGTCCAATGATCACTAACAACATGGTCTAAAGCTGCTATAACCAAAAAACCAAACCTGTTGCCGCTGAGTCAATTCCAACTGATAGCAACCCTATAGAACAGAACAGAACTGCCCCATAAGGTTTCCAAGGAGTGACTGATGGATTCAAACTGCTGACCTTTTGGTTAGCAACTGAGCTCTTAACCACTATGCCACCAGGGTATTGCTATTTATTTCTTTTGTTATTTGGAAGAAGCAAAATAAACCATCTCCATTACTAACATTTATAGATGTGAAGAAAGTAGTGAGCTCTAAATTCATTATCTGGCACTTCCTAAGCTCCAAGAAACAATTTAACTATTTTAATGCTACATTTAGTTATAAAAACATGAAACATAACACAACTCCAAAGACATTACAGAAAGTAGTTACTGGAATATGTATCCAATATGTAAGATGGAAATTAGGATTTCCAGTGTCTTCCCTTTTTTCAAATCAAATTTCAAAATCTGTCTCTCTTAAAATTCTTTCCTCAATATATGAAAAACTTTTTCCTTAATACAAATTAATAATAGTATGTAGCATTGCAATTTATGAGTGTTTTTCACATATTGTTTCCTAATTCTCAAAACTAACCTGTGAGGTGCATATTAGTCTCCTTTTACAGACGAGAGAGTTGGAGTTTACAGGCACATACCTTAGACCAACCTCTCAATATCACCATACACGTAACATGGAAAGATGAAACAGGTTTACTGAGCACGTTCTACACACGAGGCCCTGTGTTAGTAGCTTCTCTAATCTTAGTAAGACCCAGTGAGTAGGTATCATTCTCACTTAACAGATGAGGATATGTAAGTTTAAAGAAGTTAAGAAGTCTGTACAAAGTTATTTAGTGATAGAGCTAAAATACAAAATCAGGTCTGATTCCAGCACTGTCTTCAAGACCTGCATGCTTATTTTACTTACGTGACTCATTTATATATCCATTTTCTTGAGAAACAGAATTGCATATCCATTTTCTACTGCATACTTATATTTCTATCACATAGGCATAAGATATAATACTTCTTGATGATTATACATTGAGTATACGTCAGAAACAGTAGATATGCCTTTTTAAAACGCAGAATAACTTAAATAATCCTCTTTACTTTCAGGAAACGCAAAGTTTAGATCTTTGTCTTAAAAGATACATCCTGTTACTGATATTACATGAATTTATCTGGCTCACATCTGACAACTATAATATTTGATTTTCCTCATGCGATGCAGATATTCCTGTTGCCTGGTTCAGAAGTGGTTAACAACTGCTAGTTGAAATTATAAATGGTTTACAATGAGTAAAATGTAGAGCAATTATACTATTATATCATTATACTATTCTCTTCACTTTTATGGGGTTAAGTTTTCACAGTAAAATTATTTTAAAATATGTATTTTTTAAAAAGCTACCGTTCTTCGGACCAAGTTAGAGTAGAGTAACATTAGAATAAGCATTAAAATGTCTCCGGAGAAACCATATTTTTTTTTACCATACAAAGCCTAAATAACACTTCAGTCCTTGGAGGTTTTTTTTTAAATGCAATTTGCAATATACAGATAAGCCTGGAACACCCTGCTGTGCCAGGAAGAAAGAGAGTGTCCAAAGAGTGGTGAGGAAATGTCAAATCTACACAGAAGCCAGCTTGAAATGTTCCTACTGGCCAAATCTGGGGAAATTTGAGTATCGAAATAAATAATATCAGTAACAAATTATAACCTATTAAATAAATAAAAATAGCAAACCAGGAATCCATACTGATATAAAGAATAAATTGAAAGTCTGATGAGGAATGGGGTATTTTCAGTCTTAAGTACCTCCCCACAAATACTCATTAATTACAAAGAGGAAAAGAATAAATCTACCATGGAGATCAGGCAACTCAAATCTTTTGCAGCTCTGTGCACGTCCACAAATGACTACCAATGTATTGACTCTGGGATTACAGATAAATTTTAGCAAGCAGGCTCATATGCAAATACAGAATTCACGAATGAGAACTGACTGTATATACAAATGTGTGTGCATACACACACAAAAAAAAAACACAGACACTAAACACATACCACTCAGGATGATGACAATTTTATAATTTAAATTACTTCATTCCCCTTTTTTAAAAAATTATTCCACACAGAACCAACTTGCTTTTGTTTCTGTTTATAACCATGTTAAATGCAAAAATGAACAGGAGCAGGTGATGATGTGCTCAGCTATCTGAGAACCTTCCTTGTACAGGGGGAAAATTCGTACTAGCAAGTGGCAAAGTACTAAGTGGCCTGTTCTTTGATGAGTCCTGCTGTGTACCCAGTGTTGAGAAACAATTCACCAAACTGCTTGTCTTTTATTAGTAAATGAATGATCGTTTGCTTCTCTTTTGCATATAATTTTTTTTTTTTAATTTTATTTCGTTTTAGGTGGAAGTTTACAGCATGTCATGGATAGAATTGTATCCCAAAAAAATATCTGTCAACCTGGCTAGGCCATGATTCCCAGTATTGAGTGACTGTCTACAATTTTGTCATCTGATGTGACTCTGCTATGTGTTGTAAACCCTATCTCTATGATGTTAAGGAGATGGGATTAGCAGCAGTTATGCGGCAGGAGTTAGGTTGTGTCTTAAGCCACTCTCTTTTGAGATATAAAAGAGAGAAGTAAGCAGAGAAACATGGGGGCCTCATACCACCAAGAAAGCAGCTCCAGAAGCAGAGCACGTCCTTTGGACCTGGGGTTCCTGCGAGGAGAAGCTCCTAGACCAGGGGAAGATTGATGACAAGGACCTTCCCTCAGAGTCGACAGAGAGAGAAAGCCGTCCCCTGAACATGGCGCCCTAAACTTGGACTTCTAGCCTACTAGACTGTGAGAGAATAAATTTCTCTTTGTTAAAGCCATCCACTTGTGGTATTTCTGTTATAGCAGTACTAGATAACTAAGACATAATGCAAATTAGTTTCTCATTCAAAAATTTACACACAAATTCATTTGTGACATTGGTTGCAAACTCTGCAATGTGTCAGCACTCTCCCTCTTTCCCTTTACAACCTGGGCTCCCCATGTCCATTCGTCCATATAATTTGTTTCTTATGATTAGTATATCACTATCTATACAGAGGATAAAAGGACAATTCTCCAATTGTCCATGGAGCAAGGATCATGTCTAATTCCCTGTTCTTTGTAGTACTTTATTCTACTGCTGAAACTTTCAATAGCAACAGAAGTATTCTAATACTTAAAAACCCAACCAATAAAATAGACCTAAAAAATAAAAAAAACTTGGTTGTTCAGATTTATGCCACATAAATAAGGCTGTACATTTTGCCACAAATAAAACCAGCAAACACATAGCATCTTAAACAAACCTTATGTCCCATTAGATGAAAATGCTTACCAGGTTCATTTCCTGTGTCAATTCTGAAAGGATTATTACTCCTATTATGCAGTGTTCCACAGTACCCTTTGGAGAAAATACAACTATGGTAAGTGGAGACATGGAATTGGTTCTTTATGTATAAATCAGGCAATGTTTACAAATAATTAAATATTCAAGCATCGCATTTGATTAATAATATATCTATTAAACTATGTGGAAAATGACTGAGTTCTACAAATAAAAACAATGTCAAGCTTATATTTTGAAGAATAAATTTACATACACAAAGTTGAGTGGGGGAAAGCCCGCCTACCTTAGAACTGCACGACACTCTACAAAATGTTTTCAGCACCTTGAACTTCTAATAAACTAAGCTTCAAAATACAAGAGTTGAGTTTAATATTTTCATAAATCATGAATGAGCAAAAAATGCTTTTTAGCTCTATAAATTGTCTTGAAGGCTACTGACATAGCTGTATTTGATAAATAATAAATAGCTTAGTAACTAATTTAATATCAGATAAGATCACTTAGGCCCTTTTAATATTATTTAATAGTACACATGTATGCATTTATTAGGTACCTTTAATAAAGGCATCTAAAGTACCCAATGCACTGGGGTAAAAACATGACAATTAATATGGTATACAGTTTCATAGCATCTATAATGTTTTTAATTTAATCAACTCCCAATTTAATCTCAAAAACTTCCTTCAAATCAAAATTCAGATTTTATACCCACAGTACTGACAAGTTAGCCTATTGCAAAATCACACCAGAAGCATGGATATAATAAATGCAACATCCAATTACAGTACAATCATAAAAAACATCACTAATACAGATGATACGCTTTTCAAATCTTAATTTTACAGTTGGTCATTCCTTCTATCACAGAATTCCACTAACACTGAGCAACCAAGTGTAATTAAATTCAAATTACCTTCGAACAAAAAATGAAGAAAAGACACATCCCTACTCTCTGAAGCATCCATCCTGTGTATACCAGATCAACACTACTCAAAGTACGCTCACTGACCAACTGCTAGCCCATGAACCTGCTGGTGGGCTGTGAACCTGATTCTAATCTGAGAATGGTTTGTTACTGATCAGTGACAAGATATGGAGCTTGCACCAGAATATGAAACAGCTAGGTCACTAAACACATGGCTTAGTAGGTCAGCTGGCATTTTTTTTTTTTGTAGCAAGTCTTGGTCAATGAAGGAAGCACCATGTTTATTTACATTCTGACACAAGCTCTGTATCTCACTACAGACCAACAATTTTAAAAGCACTGCTCCAGATAACAGTAGTATCTCCCTGGTATGTATGTAGAAAGGAGGCACGTAAATATGTTTGGAGTATGACAACAATAAGGCTGCAATAACAGAGGACAGAAGGTGCACAAAACTTCGAGCCATTAAAGATTTAACAAACCTTAAAATAATTTTTAGAGCAAAACTCACAGAAGCTGCTAATGCCCAAAGGAGCCATGTGGTACTATCTTAGAGTAGAAAAATATTAAAGGCAATTGCCTTTCTCATGACTCAAGGTTAGGTCAAGTCATATACCCAGAAAGCAAGTGCTAAATATTTTCTGATGATACTACAAAAAACTCAGAAGATAAAATATTTTCTGTTTCTTCTGACCTTCCAAATCAACGAAAGCTAAGAGAGAACACTAGAGCTCAACGTAAACTGAATTTAACAGCCACTGAGAAAGGAGCTTGAGAGAAACGTTAGCCAACAAGATTTCACTCCATTCAGTGTTTAACCCTGATTTTACTTTAAAAGAACTCCAAAGTCTAACCTCATCTGTGCTAATGATTCTTTTTTTTAAATACGGTTTATCTTAATTTATTTTTCTTCTTGTACTTTAGATGAAGGTTTACAGAACAAATTAGTTTCTCATTAAGTAATTAATACACATATTTTGTGACACTGGTTGCCAACCTCACAACACGTCAACACTCTCCCCTTCTTGATGTCACGTTCCCCCTTACCAGCTTTCCTGTCCCCTCCTGCCTTCTGATCTTTGCCCCTGGGCTGGTGTGCTCATTTAGCCTAGTTTTGTTTCATGGGTCCATCTAATCTTTAGCTGAAGGGTGAACCTCAGGAGTGACTTCAGTACTGAGTTTAACGGGTGTCCAGGGGCCATACTCTCAGGGTTTCTCCAGTCTCTGTCAGACCAGTAAGTCTGGTCTTTTTTTGTGAGTTAGAATTTTGTTCTACATTTTTCTCCAGGTCGGTCCGGGACCTTCTATTGTGATCCCTGTTAGAGCAGTTAGTGGTAGTAGCTAGGCACCATCTAGTTGTGCTGAACTCAGTTTGGTGGAGGCTGTGGTAGTTGTGGTCCATTGGTGCTTTGGACTAAACTTACCCTTGTGTAACGTCTCCCATTTCATTTCTTATTTGGGTTATTCACGTCCTCTCCTGTTTTTCTTTTGTCAGTTTGGCCAAAGGTTTGTTGATTTTGTTGATCCTTTCAAAGAACCAACTTTTGGTTTTGTTGTTTGTTTCTGTTGTTTTTCTATTCTCCATTTCATTTATTTCTGCTCTGACCTTTATATTTCCTTTCTTCTAGTGGCTGTAGCCTTCTTCTGCTGTTCTCTATTTGTTTGACTTGTGAAGCTAATGTTTTGATTTTACCCTCTCTTCTTTTTTGATGTGTGCATCTACTGCTATAAACTGACCTCTGAGCACTGCCTTTGCTGTGTCCCAGAGGTTTTGGTATGAAGTGTTTTCATTCTTGTTTGATGCTAGGAATTTTTTTATTCCATCTTTGATTTCTTATTATCCAGTGGTTTTTAAGCAAGGTGTTATTCAGTTTCTATGTAACTGATTTTTTTCCTTGCTCTTCCTGTTACTAATTTCTGTTTTGATGATGCTGTGATCAGAGAAGATGTTTTCTATTATTTCAGTGTTTTGGATTTTGTTGAGGGTTGCTTTGTGGCCTAAGATGTGGTCTATTCTGGAGAACGTTCCATGTGCATTGGAAAAGAATGTGTACTTCGTGTTGTTGGGTAGAGTGTTCTATATATGTCTATGAGGTCAAGTTTGTTGATTGTGGCCTTTAGATCTTCTGTATCTTTGTTGAGTTTCTTCCTAGATGTTCTGTCCTTTACCGAGAGTGGTATGTTGAAGTCTCCTACTATTACTGTGGAACTGTCAATTTCTCTTTTCAGTACTGTTAAAGAGTTTTGTTTTATGTATTTTGGAGCCCTGTCACTCGGTGCAAAGATATTTATTATAGTTATGTCCTTTTGGTGGACTGTCCTTTTAATCATTATATAATGTCCTTCCTTGTCTTTACTGTGGATTTTGTTTTAAAGTCTATTTTATCTGAGATTAGTATTGCCACTCCTTCTCTTTTTTGGTTGCTGTTTGTTTGACATACTTTTTTCCATCCTTTGATTTTTAATATATTTGTAACTTTGTTTCTAATGTGTGTCTCTTATAGACAGCATATTGATGGGTCCTGTTTTTTTTTTCATTCTGCCACTCTCTGTCTCTTTATGGGTGCATTGAGTCCATTTACATTCAGTGTAATTAT